AATTTGGTTTTAAAATAATTTTAAAAAGAAACGGCCAATAATTAATATTTCATTTTAATTACATTTTAAATTTAGTATTTTGTATTGTTATCTGTTTTAACTGGCTGTAAGCCGCCCTGAGTCCGCTAGGAGAAGGGCGGGGTACAAATTTGATAAATAAATAAATAAATAAATAAATAAATAAATAAATAAATAAATATTGTATCTTCTATTATGTATACAATCATGTGAAAAAGTAAATACACCCATTTTGAGTTCTATGGTTTTACGTATCACGATATATTAGAAATTATCTGGTCCTTAGCAGTTCTTAAAATTAGGTAAATACAATCCCAGATGAATAACAACACGTGACATATTATACCACAACATAATTTATTTTACAAAAAGAAAGCCAAAATGGAGAAGTCATTTGTGAAGAAATACACCTTATGATTCAAACACTTGTAGAAGCAACATTAGCAGCAATAACTTGAAGAAATCATTTTCTGTATGACTTTATCAATCTTTGACATGGTTGTGGAGGAATTTTGATTTATTCTGGTATGAGATGTTTGTGCTGATATGCTGTGTTTGGTGTTCACCAAATGTAACATTGGACATTATGGCCAAACATCTCCCCTTTTATCTTGTCTATCCAAAGGATAATGTTCCAGAAGCCTTGTGTTTTGTTTAGATGCAACTTTGCAAATAGAAGCCAAGTTGCCATGTTTTTTTATTAGAGAGCAGAGGCTTTGTCCTGGCAACGCTTCCAAACAAGCCATAATTGTTCAGTCTTTTTTGAATTGTACTGTCATGAATTTCAATTGTCATGGTTCCGATAGATGAGACCAGTACAAATAAGAATTCTGAGGCCATTGCTTTCCTCAAAGAACAATCTTTAATGGCTACATAATATCAGCATGAACATAGGTGAAACCAAGACTGGAAGTCCCCCCCTGCAAAAGGTTACAAAGTAAAAGTTAAACTCCCCACCCACTAAATATGTAATAAATCACATTCTGCAATTAACACCTTTGGCAGGCTTTCTAATGGTAATTCTAGCCTGCCAAACACTTGAGCAATTTGACCTTGGTTCCCACAAGAAAGTTATTGTTATGACTGAATTAGAAGAATGCATCTTCCCTCCCCCCATAGCTGTGGCAAGCCGAAAAATGAAGAAATATGGCTCTAACCAAAGTAGTTTTGTAGGTTTGACATCAACATTTAACATGCTAACTGAGGCCTGAACAGTCTGAGATGTAATTCTTGAATTTTTTGCCATTTCTCTGAGAATTGCATGGTCTGGCCTTCGGGTGAGTTTGCTGGGATGACCAGGAAGATGACTAGGAAGATGGAAAATTGTCTTGAATGTTTTCTGCTTATGAATAATTTTCCTCACTGTAGAATGATAGACTCTAAATTGTTTGGAAATGGCTTTATAACACTTCCCAGATTGATGGGCAGCGACAGTTGCTTCTCAAAGATCATTGCTGATATCTTTCCTCTTTGGCATGGTGACATATCTCAATGCTGCAGACCAATAGATCCTAAATAGATCCTAAATATACTGTCACTATAGAGAAAGTGACACTTGCTGATGATCAGTTGATCAAGGGCACCTGATTAGCAGCACTTGGCTGCTACTTAGGCTTTTCATACCTGTAGAAGCAGTAGAAGTACTTACTTTTTCACAGCTGGCTTCTCCATTTTGGCTTTTTTCTTTTGTAAAATAAATGATGGCATGGTGTGATATGGAACATTCTGATAAAGCTACTACAAGCTTATATCCTTATGTATCAATTTGTCTACTAAAGAGTCCTATTCATGTGGAAACTGATTTTCCTACAACACTGCCCTCTGCCATCCATCTTGTCTGTCTCCTAAATATCATTTTACTCTTGAATTAACATTTGTTAGTGCCCATTCTCAGCATTGTTGCACACCCTGTTTAATTTTACCCTGAATTATTAAGGCAAAATGTACCTCTCTTTGAAAGTCTGATATATCATTTTGTTTTTATTAGCTATACATTCCAAAATACTAGCTGAACACACTTATATGGTTGTCATTTGGATAAAGGGATATTTACATTCATTTTGTTTTTACCTGCCATGACTGTTGACTTAAACTCCTGAGTTCCCAAGGATGTCCTCTCTTTCTGCATTTAGATGAAAGCATGGCTTGCAGAGCATGGGCCACTGCATAGACAGCATTGTAAATGCTATAACTTTGACCAGTTATACTACTTTCAAACAGACATTTGGGAAGGGTCTCCAGTGACTCCTCACCAGTACATTTATTGCCACGGTCCTCATCTAACCCAGCATTTGGGAAAGTACATTCAAATGCATGTTCCCAAAACACTCTTGTCAAGCTGTCTTCTTCAGAAGAAGGCTTTTTCATCTGAATAAATTTCTTAAACCCTACTATTTCCTTTGAGGAAACTGCCAAAGTTAGTGCACCATGAATGAAGTCCATGCCTCTGGTTCTTTGAAAGGGGATTGATGTGAATTCCATCTGTGCTGGCATTATCCAAACTTTATCTTTTCTCTTCATTGGCATGTTCACATATTCTGAAATATATGGCAGCATTCTAAAGAAGGGCATGTCCTCATTTTCACAATATATGATCACAACAGTGGTAGTAGTTCTCAGAATAATCTTGTATATTATAAAATAGCCATCCAGTTGATCCTCAATGTCATTGGTATCAGGTTCTTTTGGCATTTCTTTTATGAAGTCAAAACAGATGCCTTTCTGCGAAAACAAATCAAGCCTATTCTCTATAAAACTCTTTCCTCTTTCAGGGTTTTGAGTAATGAGCCCAATCCATTTCCACTCGAAGTGAAGCAACAATTGGATGATCCCCATAATTTGAAGATCTTCATTTGGAAATAATTGATGGAAGAAGGCAGCATGCATGTTGTCATCCATCTCTGCAGCTGCACCATATATGAGCTAAGAAAAATGAAGAAACCGGAGGATATATTTCCAATTCAAAATAATTGTATCTATTTTAACAAAGTGTATTGATGCAAATATTAATATTGTTCTCCAAAGAACAGCAGAGTTTGCACATTCTATGCATAGTATATAAAACACATTCTTTAATGAAATTATTTTTCATAGGATAGGAATATCCAGCTTTCTATCATTTCAAATAATTCCAGCCTTCCCATCCCTTGGTGAAATATATTTTGATATTTAATTTAATTGTGATATATCAAGCAAAGTTGATTATTCCTTTATTTTGAAGATTTCTGTCAGTGATCCCATTCATAATCTAGATAAAATTTTGGAATATAAATTAAACTAAATAAAGCATATTATCAGAAATCTTTTTTAATATGAGAGGTGATCCATTTAGTTTGATTACAATTCTTCAGTTGTTATCCAATGTTAACAACACTCTTATATTTTAGTTATATTAGCTGAATATGTAAACTAGAAGATAAAATTGTATTCTGCAAATAAAAATCTGAATAAATATTTTCCTTCATGAAGTTAAGTTTAAGTACAATGAGAAATTCAAGATTGTCAAATATGCTCCATTTCATAGCCATGTGTTCTCACATTAAAAAAGGAATAGCTGTAGATTGTATTTGGGGTAAATCTACTGTACATTTTATTATACATAGAGTGAGTTTCCTGATGAGCTTATTATTTTATTTTTTTTATTTATTAAATTTATATACCGCCCTATCTCCCTTACGGGACTCAGGGCGGTGAACAGGCGATACTAAAAACCACGATAATAAATAAATAGTTTCTGTTCTAAAATCGAATTAAATAACAGGCCTGTTCTAAAAACACACCCATACAAAAAACCCCACTGAAACATAATCAAACTACGACTATTGCATAGTCTTATTTTTTGTTTCATTTATCACTATGCACAAACCACAAATGACCACATTAATATGTGAATAAGTTGTTCAGTTTCACTTCTTTCTTTTTGGAATAATTCTTACCTGTGGAACCTTGTAAATGCTCAGAACATTTGACATAAATCGACCAATGTAAGCATTATGTCCTGCAATCACAGATATTATATTGTCCTTGAGGTCACACTTGTAGTTTGGGATGAACTTTCCTTTTGTAGAGAGAAGCTCCATGGAAGCCAGATAGATCCATCTTGCCAGGACATAGCTATTGGAGATATGGATACCGAGGGTCATATTAGGCAGGATCTTGGAATTCTCATTGATTTCTTTGACTGCAAATTCCAAAGCCAAATTGTGCTGGTAGTTTTGCATATACAACCTGAAATGAGTATTAGAGCATCGCTAGCCAAATTCAGAATTTGGTACAATCTAATCTATGTTTTCTAATTTTGTATCACACAAGATTATGTAGCCCATGAGCATTGAAAGAAAGGGGTATATTAACATTCAAGCAAGGCATCTCTTTGATTGTCTAAGACAGTTTCTAGACAGAGGTGAAAGTTACATAACAATAGGTTTAAAAATCTTCCTTGTCTATTGGAGATGGTCCTAATTAGTTGGATACATTCAGAAGGATGAATTGCAAAATGGAATAATTATAAATAATTACAGGGATCCTGGTTTAATTCTGCCTCCTACCCAAATATTCTACTCCACCATTTCCAGCTTCTGTTCCTTGCTCTTAATCCCTACAAACATGCTTCTTCGGTTATTGAAAAAGGAAATTCAATTATCATTATATTGTACAATGTGAATTTATGAGAGTATTTGATACAATATCTGCATGTGGGTATAACTGCAGTCATGCACAACATCTACAGATGATCACTGTTATAAAGCAATGAGATGTTGGTTTTAATTCGGCTTTTATCGGGGTTTATTCTTTTGTATTTTTGTATTTTTGTATTGTGTATTTTTTGTATTTTGGGTATATTATTTGTTTTTAATATGCTGTGAACCGCCCTGAGTCCTATGGGAGAAGGGCGGTATACAAATTAAAATAATAATAATAATAATAATAATAATGTCTTTGCAAACATTTATTTCTTTTATACTTCACCTGGTTATTGCCACATGAAAAAGAAATGTAATAAAATTAAATTAATATTCACCCAAAAATTATCAAGGAGGGTATTGGAAGCTATTGAAATAGAAATAAATTGGAATATGAGTTTGAGGAATCACATGATAACTGATGTAATAATATTATTAAAAGAGAGAAAAAATAGTGGAGTTTAGGCAATCTAGAATTCATCTCTCACTCTAATTCAATCATGCCCCAAATTTTAATTATTTCTGGTTTTGCTTTGCTTAAAACTAAGAATTACATACATGAAATCATCAACTAGTTCATTTGATGGATTTCTTGTAAATGTTACTTTTTCAGACATCATATAAATTAGAAAAGAAATGCCAGCAATGACCAAATCTTCTGAATGATATTGTTTATGTTTAATAAGAGGCTGGTTTCCTACAGAACATTTAGCAAGACGTGTATGAGCTTCTACACACAAGGATAATATTGCTACAGATGCAAAGAATAATATCATCTTGCAGACCAATTTATCTCGCAGCCATCTGTTCACTCCATGAGAATTAGGCATTTAAAATAAGACAACCTGATGTTCCATGAGTCTGCTTTAAAGCAGAGGTGTCATTTTAAAAAAAATCAGACTGAAAAGACTTTGTCTTCTAGAGAAAAAAGAATATTATATTTTATTACTGTTGAAATATATTAGTTTTAATATTTTCTGTAATTCTTTAGAGGGTGAAAATAATAACACATAATTGATAATGATTGTACAGATCTAGACATGCTCAGGTGTATAAACCAACTTGTGATACATGGGGAACTGTAACTTAGAATTAAGGACAAAATAATGGTAGCTGGGGAATAGAAAGAACTAACTGAGAAAAAGTAAAAAAAAAAAAAAAATCTTCTCCAGTATCTGAAGTTGGTTTTCTAAATGACAAAAAAATTGAATTCAAATGGAAATTTCAATCAGGATTAATTAAACAGCAAAGTAAATCAAATTAAATTGTATTAAATAAAATTTAATCTGTTAAGTATGTCTTTCTCTTCATATATTCTAAAATAAATTAATTAATCAAAGTACTGCTATTGCCTGAATTTTGTTTGATGTGCCTATTTATTTTTATTTAATAAAACTTACATGGCTACCCAGTGACTCCAGGTGGCTTATAAAGATAAAAACCCAATATAAAAGCAATGAAAAGCAATAACCTCCCAACCCAATTAAATAAGCCACTTGATGGGTGGGTTCTATTCCACTCTGGGTTCCTCAGGCCCTTTGGTGAATCAGATCTGCAGGATCTTGTGAAAGAGTAAAAAAATTACAGACCAATCTTATTTCTATGGGGATTATGTTCTACAAGGAGGAGTCACCACAGATCCCCCTATATGTACCTCCTTAGGAGAGGGAACCTGTAGCATTGCCTTCCTCCCAACTCTTCTGTGTAGAGTTAAATAACTTGGTCCCAAGCTATTGCTTTAAAGGTCACTACCAGCACATTGATTTGGGCCCTAAAGCAAATTGGTAGTTAATGCAGCTCCTGCAGGAGAGATCATATATGTGCACATCTAGGCTTGCACAAAACCATGTAGGCTGCTGAATTTAGAATCAATTGACGCTTCCGGACACTTCTCAAGGGCAGTCACATGTAGAGTACACTACAATAATAATGATGGAAGGTGACTAGAGTGTGAGTGATTGTGAACAGAGATTGTTGGTTCAGCAAAAGGTGTACAACTTGCAATTGTGCAAAGGCTCTCATGGCCATGACTGCCATTTGCTCCTTAAACAGGAGTTGTGAGTCCAGGAGAACTGCCAGATTATACACTGGGACAGTGCCACCCCATCTAAGACCAGAGATGGCAATTATCTATGGATCAAAAAACCCTCAAACCCAGAGCCACTTGGTCTTGCCAGGGTTCAGTTTCAGCCCGTTGTTCCCCATCCAGCACTTAACAGCATCCAAGCACTGCAAGAGGGAGGTCACAGTATCAATTAACTCACCATGGGCTGAGACATATAGCTGTATCATCAACATATTAATGATATCTCAGCCCATGGCAGATTATCTCAACCAGCAGCTTCATGTAGATGTTAAACAGAAGTGGCAAATGTACCAAGCCCTGCAGAAACCATAAAGTAGGGGATGAGGGCTGGATCACTCTCTTCCTTTGAATGCTCATTGAGAGTGACCACAGAGGTAGAAAGTGAATCAGAACAACACAGAGGCCCCCACTTCCAACCCCTGAAACCAGAAGAATACCATGGTCAATGGTATTGAAGGTCACTGAGAAGTCAAGTAGATCAGAGCTGGACACACTATTTCATCCAGGTTTTTGATGCCAGGATTTTAGCAATAGCAATAGCACTTAGACTTATATACTGTACCTCTTCACAGACCTCTCTAAGCAGTTTACAGAGGTCAGCATATTGCCCCCGACAATCTGGGTCCTCATTTTTACTGACTCCAGAAGGATGGAAGTCTGAGTCAACCTTGAGCTGGTGAGATTCGAATTGCCAAACTGCTGGCAGCTGGGAGTCAGCAGAAGTAGCCTGCAGTACTGCATTCTAGCCATTGCGCCACCAGGGCTCTTTGAGATGTAAAAAAAAAAAAAGTCACACCAAATAAATAACTTCAGAATTCTTTTCACCTCTAATATAACATATAAGCTATACAATTCAATTGAAAAACAAACAAAATTGAATTCCAAATCAAAGTTCAAAGAATCTTTGATCATCAAGATCATCAACAAATGCAACCAATGCCATTTCCATCCTATATCCAGGCCTGAACCTTAACTGGAAAGGGTCTAAATGATCCATTTCATCCAGGAATCTTTGGAGCTACTGCATAACTGCCTGCTCAACTACTTTCTCCAGAAAGGGAACATTGGAGACAGGACAAAAATTATTGTGTAATAGGCTGGAGTCTAGTGATGGGCTTTTAAAAAGAGTGTGGACCACAGCCTCCTAAAAATACTGAGGCACTTTCAGAAAATCAGTATATTCCTCAGCATGGCCCTTCAGGTAGACCTCTGTATCTAACTTCCTCAGGAGAAGATGGCTGACCTTAAATTTGGCTGATTATCTGTAGATGCAATTAGTGTGGAGAAATAGTTATGCTTCTCTGCCCGAATCACCATGATATAGTTTTAATAGCAGATTTTAACCATGATCAATCAAGTTCATTCCTTAACTTCCACCATCAATGCTCTGGACATCTCCTCATCCATTTCAACCCTCTCCATTCCTCCATATACCAAAGGACAAAGTGGTCTATGAGTTATGAGAGATTAAATGAGTACAATCCTATCCAGAGCCTAAGTCACTTTCCTATTCTAAGTGGCAACTTTAAGCTCAGATGGACTACACAGCAAATCTGAAGATTGTCACCAATGTGCTTATTTGGGGAACAGTTATTATAATATTATTAGCATTTTATACAATGTGTGTTGCATTCATAATTCTTCAGTTGCAGGTTTTATCTTCTTATGAAATTGGTAATAGAAGTAAAATAACATTGGGGCATTTCACCATCTTCTATTTTGGTCCATGATTGAAGTCAAAATCTCAAAGATATAACTATAGGAAAAATATATCTGAACATAATTAATTAGACCAAGTAATTGATTTATTGATTATATGCCATCAAGTCATTTTTTTACTTCAAGCTACCACATAGTTAGATTTTCCCCATGATGATCTGTCACTAAGGTGGTAATAGCAACATGGATTTAATTAGAGATACATACAGTAGATATATAAATCTACACACCCCTGTTAAAATGCCAGGTTTTTGAGATGTAAAAAAAAATCACACCAAATAAATAATTTCAGAATTCTTTCCACCTTTAATATAACATATAAGCTGTAAATTCAATTGAAAAACAAACAAAATTGAATTACAAATCAAAGTTTAAGGCTAGTGTGATTGAAACATTCACTCACACAGATCATTTAATTGCTAGAAACCAAATCAAAACTTTATTACAGTCATTCATCAGAAATACAATACATTAAAAAAAGTAATACAAAAAAGCCAACTTGAGCTTGTTTGGTCTAGTGGTAAGACACTAGACTAGCCAGTGAATTCCACCTTAAGCACAAAACCAGCTGGATGACTTTAGGCCAGTCACGTTTCCCAGCCCTAAGAAAAAAGCAATGGCAAGCCACTTCTGGAAAACCTCGCCATATACATGCCACAACACACATACACTCATACAAACACAATAATGTCACAATAATTTTGAGGTGTAAGCAGGAATACTGCAGTATGTAATATTTCTCTCCCATGCTGACGGCTTTCCAGTAGTGCTTAAAGAAATGTGAACCATTTTTAATTTTCAATATTCCTGTGTAAATATGATCTAAAACACGATCTCTTTTCAACAAAAGTCCTAAAAGTAGATAAAGAGAACCTAATTAAACATGAGTCAGAAATGTTATACTTTTTAATTGATTTAAGAAAATACAAACAGGGTTTAAAGAAAGGATTTAAGGAAAGATAAAGTATTTAAGTAAAGACAAATACAACTGAAAGATCAACATGCTGTAAACAACATACAGTATTTAACTTCATTCAAAATGCTTAGTAAATATTTTAATTAATGTTATTTCTGTAGTAGTCTTTCCTTTTTATTAAAGTCAGGCCTCATAATAATGATGTAACATTTTGGGGGAAAGATGCAGCCTAGTAATCCAGCTCCTGAAGCCAAAATGGAGAAGATCTCCACCGCCACCATGTACTTCCCCTTGGTATTCAGATAGGTAGGAACAAATGATACCCAGACACTACAAAAAATTATCATGCTGAAAGTGATAAATTTGGCTTCATTGAAGCTATCAGGTAAATTTCTAGCAAGGAAAGCCACTGTGAAACTGATAGCCATCAATAACCCCATAAAACAAAGGACAATATAAAACATAGTTGTCAAACTTTCATTACATTTATTTATTTATTTATTTATTATTTTAATTTGTATACCGCCCTTCTCCCATAGGACTCAGGGCGGTTCACAGCATATTAAAAACAAATATACACAAAATACAAAAAAATTACAAATACAAAAATACAAAAATACAGAAAATAAACCCCGATAAAAGCCGAATTAAAACCAAATATTACAAGCTGTGTTTCCAATTAAAATACTTTTAAAATTATCCCTGCCTAAAATCCTCCCTAGGTCAGGCCCGCTTGCTGAAAAAGCCATGTCTTGAGGGCGCGGCGGAAAGTAAGGAGATCCGGAATCATCCGGATC